CCAAGAGGCCCAAGACGGCCCCGAAAGGCCCCCAAGACGGCCCAAGAGGCCTCCAAGACGCTCAAGATAGCCTCCAAGACGGCCCCAGAGCCCTCCAAGACGTCCCCCAAGAAGGCCCGAAAGGGTCAAAATTGCCTCCGGACGGCCAAGATGACCTTCAAGATGCCCACGTGTTCCCCGAAGGCTTTTCGAAACGATTCGGGGAACACATGGTCCGATAGCTTGGCAGGTCTGGCCTCAACGTTCGGCCACATAGGCGCTGCCAAAAAGGCAGGGGGCGGCGGTGATTCGCCGTAGGCGTCTTCGATCCGCCGCCCCCTGTCGATTCATCGCAGGGGTGCCTGGCGTGCTAGACCCTTTCGGTTTTAGTTTTGGTTCTTTCTCCCCCCCCAAAAAATTAGCCTGGCGAAGGACCCAACCATATGCAGCTGCGAGTACCGCACGGATATGAGACGAAGGAGGGGGCACGCAAACTAGGCCCCTCTTCTCATAGGCACCGCGCCACTGGGGCCTTCGGTGGAGCTCCCTGGGGCCACGAAACGTGTGAAGGGTGTGCCGAAATGGGTGGTGGGGAGGCATGCGGACCCTGCCACTGGGGCCTTCGGTGGATGGGGCCACGAAACGTCCCTATGCGGGCCAGCTCCCTATGACGAAACGTGTGAGGGGTGTGCCGAAATGGGTGGTGAGCCACTGGGGCCTTCGGTGGAGCTCCCTATGGGGCCACGAAACGTGTGAGGGGTGTGCCGAAATGGGTGGTGGGGACGCATGCGAACGCAACCACTGGGGCCTTCGGTGGAGCTCCCTATGGGGCCACGAAACGTGTGAGGGGTGGGCCGAAATGGGCGAGGGGCGGCATGCCAACTCTGCCACTGGGGCCTTCGGTGGAGCTCATTATGGGGCCACGAAACGTGTCAAGGGTGTGTCGACATGGGTGGCGCGGACGCATGCGAACCCTGCCACTGGGGCCGTCGGTGGAACTCCCAATGGGGCCACGAAACGTGTGAGGGGTGTGCAAAAGTGGGTGGGGGCGGCATGCGAACCCTGCCACGGGGGCCTTCGGTAGAGCACCCTATGGGGCCACGAAATGCGTGAGGGGTGTGCCAAAGTGGGGTGGGGGCGGCATGCGAACCCTGCCACTGGGGCCGTCGGTGGAGCTCCCTATGGGGCCACGAAACGTGTGAGGGGTGTGCCAAAGTGAGATGGGGGCGGCATGCGAACCCTGCCACTGGGGCCTTCGGTGGAGCTCCCTATGAGGCCACGAAACGTGTGAGGGGTGTGCCAAAGTGGGGCGGGGGCGGCATGCGAACCCTGCCACTGGGGCCTTCGGTGGAGCTACCTATGGGGCCACGAAACGTGTGAGGGGTGTGCCAAAGTGGGGTGGGGGCGGCATGCGAACCCTGCCACTGGGGCCTTCGGTGGAGCTACCTATGGGGCCACGAAATGCGTGAGGGGTGTGCCAAAGTGGGGTGGGGGCGGCATGCGAACCCTGCCACTGGGGCCGTCGGTGGAGCTCCCTGTGGGGCCACGAAACGTGTGAGGGGTGTGCCAAAGTGAGGTGGGGGCGGCATGCGAACCCTGCCACTGGGGCCTTCGGTGGAGCTACCTATGGGGCCACGAAGCGTGAGGGGTGTGCCAAAGTGGGGTGGGGGCGGCATGCGAACCCTGCCACTGGGGCCTTCGGTGGAGCTACCTATGGGGCCACGAAACGTGTGAGGGGTGTGCCAAAGTGGGGTGGGGGCGGCATGCGAACCCTGCCACTGGGGCCTTCGGTGGAGCTCCCTATGGGGCCACGAAACGTGTGAGGGGTGTGCGGAAATGGGAACTAATGGCGATGGCGATGATGATGATGATGATGATGATGATGATGATGATGATGATGATGATGATGATGATGATGATGATGATGATGATGATGATGATGATGATAATGCTGGTGGTGATAACGATGATGATGCTGGTGGTGATGATGACAGGATGGTTGGGAACTAATGGCGATGGCGATGATGATGACGATGATCATGCTGGTGGTGATGATGACGATGATGATGATGATGATGATGATGATGCTGATGATGATGATGATGATGATGATGAGGATGATGATGATGATGACGATGAGTATGATGACGGCGATGGGAGGAGGGAGGAGGGGGGAGAGGAGGAGGAGGAGAGGAGAGGAGAGGAGAGGAGAGGAGACGCGGGGCGCTGTCTCTTCAAAACGAGGACCCAACACCACAGGATGGTTGGGAAAAAATCTCCCCCTGTGGCTTCGGCCCGTCCCGCCGGCCACCTGGAAAGATCTTCCAGATTGCCCAGGGGTGGTTGCCAAGGGTTGTTCCTGCTCCAGACGGCCCAAGATGGCCTCTAAGACGCCTCCAAGACGGCCAACATGGCCTCCAAGACGGCCCAGATGGCCCCAAGATGCCTCCAAGATAGCCCAAGATGCCTCCAAGATGGCCTAAGATAGCCTCAAGATGGTGCAATACGGCCCAAGAGGCCCCCAAGAGACCCCGAAGACGCCTCCAAGAGGTCCTCAAGGAGAGTCCGAAGAGGCCCAAACCAGTGGTTTTCCACAGGTTTTTGAAGGATCTGGGCATTTGCTTTTTTTTTGGCCTTCCGAAGACCTCAAGACGACCCAAGAGGCCCCCGAGATCGCCCCAAAATCGCTCACGAGGCCTCCAAGATGGCCCCATGACGGCCCACGAAGCCCCCGAGAAGGCCCCAAGCGGGCCCCAAGACGGGCCAAGAGGCTTCCAAGACGGCCAAGCTGGCCTCCAAGACGGCCCCGAAGCGCCCAAAGAGGGCCCCAAGCCGGTTCAGAGAGGCCCCCAAGACGGCTCCCGACGGCGTCAGACGGGCCAGGAACGCCATAAGGCGGCCATAGAAACCCCCGAAGCCCCGAAAGGACCCCAACAGGCCCTCAACAGGCCCCAAGAGCCCATCCGGGAGGAAAGAGAGGGAGGACAGAGAGGAGAGGGGAGGACAGAGAGGAGAGGAGACTGCCGCCCGGGCACCGGGTGCCACGACGGACTCGCGCCGCCCAGACCATCTCGGACCTCGTCGCGCCGAGAGCCCTGGCTGCAGCGGCGCGGGCCGCCTGCAGTGGCGGGGTGACCGCACGTCGACTTTCGGGGCCGCTCCTCGTGCATCAGGGGCTACGCCAGAGAGGGCGCGACTGAGCATTACAGTCATCGGCCTGACCTAAGGAACGATAAATAAGGAACGAAGCCCCTTTTTTACCCCAAGGAATAACGCATAAGGAACGATAAATAATAGATAACGCATGAGGCACTGTTTATAACGCATGTAAAACCTAAGGAACGACCGAGCCCCTTTTGAAAAGTAAATGTTCCTTATTCAAGCCGCTCACTGTACGCGTTCTGCCGCTCCTGCCATGGCTGCTGCTCACGGTGCCTGGGCCTCCGGCGCCCGTTCACGGAGCACGCTCTGGAGGACTTCGTCGGCATCGGCCGGTCCTCGCCGACCTCGTGGGGCAACCCGTCGTGGGCGGAGGCAGAGAAGAGCGCCTCGAGGGCGATTTCCCATCTACGCCTTGCGCACGACGCACGCGCAGGTCCGCCACGGGCTGCAGGTGGCCGAGCCCGCGAACGCTTTCCGAGGCCACCTCCGCGAGGCCACGCGGCGCCACCCGAGGTCCACGGAGCTGATGGTGAGGGCTTTCGCCGCGCGGGGCGCGCGGACACCTAGAGGTTGATTCCCAGTGTGTTCTGTCTCAGCTTGCCTTGCTCCTTCCCCTTCTCCTGCCTCGGCCTCCGCCTCCTCCCCTCCCTTCCTCTCCCTCCTCTGACTGTGTACCGGCTTATCCGGCCGTGCATTGCCGCGGGAACTCCCGAAGAGGCAGCGCACCGAGTTCGTGGCATGCATTTCGCCGCACGTCCGTCCTGGTCGCGTGGCCGATAGGTTGTGGGCACGGCTGGTCCACCTCCTCCCCCCTTCCTCTCCTTCCTCTCCTTCCTCGGCCTCCTTTCCCCCCCTCTGTCTGTGTAATTACCGGCCTATCCGGGCGCGCATTGTCGCGGGCACACCCGATGAGGCGGCGCGCCGAGTCCGTGATATGCATGTCGCTGCACGTTGGTCCACTCGCCTCTGTCCCCGCCGCGTGGCCGATAGGTTAGGGGCATGGCAGCTCCCCCTCCTCCCCCCTCCTCTCCTCCTCCTCCTCCTCCTCCTCCTCCTCCTCCTCCTCCTCCTCCTCCTCCTCTTCCTATGGCTGTCCCTGCAGCGTAGCCGATACGACGGCCACAAGTGGGCTGACCGCGCCCCGGGCCCCGGGGCTGTTGTCAGGTTCCGCTGGTCTTCAGGACCCCTTGGATCGCACGTGGCTGGAATTCGGTTGGCGGTTTTTCGCTCCCAGTGCGCGCCTCCCCGGCCGCCGGGGGCACGGCTGGGCAGGGCCCAAGGCCCAAGCGACGCCTGGCGGCGCGAGTGGTGAGGCAGCATCGCAGGCTGACTCTTGGAGCCTCCGTCGGTGTTGTTGGGATCTGCGCGGAATGTGATGCAGCAGGCTTCAATCAGGCCTTGCAGAATGCTGCAAGATCCTGCAAGGTCCTGCACCCAAGCCCGGGTCAATGCGCAGGATCCTGCAAGATCCTACAGGTTCCTGCACCCAACCCCGGGTCAATGCGACCCTGGCCCTGCAGGATCCTGCAAGATCGGGCGCTCTGGCTGACCTCCGTTTGCATTGACACCCGTCTCAAGGCTCCCATATCTTGGTAGGAGTCTATGAAGATGGAACTTGGAGGGAGGGTTTATTGCAACATCGTTGATGAGCTCTGGACTTACACTGGTCCTCTTCCTTTTTCTCCTCTCTTTCCCTCCTTCCCCTCCTCATCCACCTCCTCCCCCCTCCCCCATCCCCATTCTCTCTTCCACCTCCTCCTCCTCTTCCTCCTCCTCCTCCTCCTCCTCCTCCTCCTCCTCCTCCTCCTCCTCCTCTTTCTTCCGGCAGCGACGACGACCACGGCGACGACGCGCCAGGCCTGCATGCGCCTGTTCACCCGTATCTGGCCGTTGGCCTTCAGAACCGAGCCGTCCGCGAAGATGCCGGCTGACCGGGACCTCGCGGGCGGAGCCCGCTGCCGCCGCCCGCCGCTGCCTGCCGCCGCGGCGCCGCCGCCGCGCCCGCCACCGTCGTCGTCATCGTCGCCGTCGTCGCCGTCGTCGACGTCGACGTCGTCGTCGGTCAGCCGTCGTCGTCCTCGCCTTCGGCGTCGTCGCTTCCTCGAGGTCTGCACTCGGGCCGTCGCTCTCCTCCTAATCCCACCAGCCATTTGGGCGTAGGTGGTCTAGAGTGTTTCCTCTGTTGCCCCTCCTGCTTCCCCTTCGGGGAGGGGTTTACCCCTCCCCCTTCCCCCTCCCCTGGACCTGGACGGGGGGTTTCGCGACGCGTTGGAACGTCCAAAACGGCCTCGGCGAGGAAGCCAAAACCATTGGATTTACCAAGGCTTTGGCCCCATTTTGGCGTCCTGATGGGGGGACAGTAATTAGGGAACCCCCCTTCTTTGATCGATGTCCTCCAAGATGGCCCCAAGAGGCGCCCAGGAGGCCCCAAGAGGCCCCAAAATGGCCCCAAGATCGCCCCAAAATGGCCCCAAGAGCCCCCCAAGAGACCCCCAAGAGGACCCCAAGCGGCCCCGAGAGGCCCCCCCGAGGCACCCAAGACGCCCAAGAGTCCCTCAGGACCGCCAAGAAACCCCCAACGCGTCCCAAGAGGCCTCCAAAAACCGCCCAAGAGATATCCCAAGGGGCTCCGAAAGGCATTCAGAAGACCTTCAAGAGACCCCGAAAAAGGCTTCAAGAGGATCCCCGAGGCCCCCGAGATCCCCCCCGGACGATCCAATAGGTTTCCAAAACAACTCCAAGAAACATCTTAAGAGGATCGTATGTTCGTCATGATTCCTCCTCCTTCTCCTTGTCCTGCTTATTAGTATCCTCCTCCTCCTCCTCCCCTTTATCCAACTACTCATCATCCGATTACCAACACCATCAACAGCAACATCAGCAGCACAAGCAGCAGCAACAGCAGCAGCAGTACCAGCAGGAGCAAAAACACCAACAATAACACTTGCAACCTTCGCCGCACAAGATCTCCCACTTCACCGTTGCTGCCCACTCTGGTTCACTATGTGCGTCTTTTCTTCCCTTCTTCCGTCAGCTTTCTTGGGCATCGTTTCTGGATGGGCTGCTTGGTGTACTTTTTTGGTTCACAACCGCAAGCGGACAGCCGCGCGGCGTCGTGAAGTCGCGCGAGGAGCGCAACCCAATGCAAGAGCACAGCGCGGCTTCCGCCGGGCGAGCGCGGAAAAAGGACGGGGCCACCAAGCGGAAGCGGCGCTCAGCGGCGAACGTGGTCAGGCGACACACCACGGCACCGCAAGCGAGGCGGGGGAGGACGAGGAACCGACGAGACGACGAAAGGAGGGAGAAACGGAAACGAACGCAGCGCCGCTCAGAGGCGGAAGACCGAGCCCGTGAACGCCAGGGACACGTCATCCTCCAGGTTCATGCGCAGCGAGTGGAGCAAGCGTGTGGCCAGAATCAGGCAGGTGGCGATACTTGTTGGTCAACAGGCTCGCGAGGCGTGTCGAAAGCCGTCCAAACACTAGTCGGGCCGCGACGAGGCAGCAGGAGGAAAAAAAATCCCGGCAAAGCAACCTAACAGCGATGTGTAGGAGCATATCTGGAAGCATCCCCCTTAAGATTCAGATGAGAATCCAGTTGTAGAGTTCTGCTGTTCTCGCAGTCGTAGTCGCATTCGCGATGACAGTCGCAGTGGCCTGCATTAGCCTCAGCCTCAGCCTCAGCCTGCCTCAGCATCAGCCTCAGCCTCAGCTTCAGCCTGCCTCAGCCTCAGCCTCAGCCTGCTCCTGCATCAGCCTCAGTCTGCCTGCAGCCTCGGCCTCAGCCTCAGCCTGCCTCAGCCTCAGCCTGCCTCAGCCTCAGCCTCAGCCTCAGCCTCAGCCTCAGCCTGCCTCAGCCTCAGCCTCGCCTCAGCCTCAGCCTCAGCCTGCCTCAGCCCTCAGCCTCAGCCTGCCTTCAGCCAGCCTCAGGCCTCAGCCTCAGCCTCGGCCTGCAGCCTCACCTGCCTTCAGCCTCAGCCTCAGCCTCGGCCTCAGCCTCAGCCTCAGCCTCAGCCTCAGCCTCAGCCTCAGCCTCAGCCTCAGCCTCTCAGCCTCAGCCTCAGCCTCCCTCAGCCTCAGCCTCAGCCTGCTTCAGCCTCAGCCTCAGCCTCAGCCTGGCCTCAGCCTCAGCCTGCATCAGCCTCAGCCTCAGCCTCAGCCTGCCTCAGCATCAGCCTGCCTCAGCCTCAGCCTCAGCCCTCTGCCTCAGCCCTGCTTCAGCCTCAGCCTCAGTCTGCCTTCAGCCTCGGCCTCAGCCTCAGCCTGCCTCAGCCTCAGCCTGCATCAGCCTCAGCCTCAGCCTCAGCCTGCCTCAGCCTCAGCCTGCCTCAGCCTCAGCCTCAGCCTGCTTCAGCCTCAGCATCAGTCTGCCTTCAGCCTCGGCCTCCCTCGGCCTCAGTCTCAGCCTCAGCCTCAGCCTGCTTCAGCCTCAGCCTCAGCCTCTGCAGCCTGCCTCAGCCTCAGCCTCAGCCTGCCTCAGCCTCAGCCTCAGCCTGCTTCAGCCTCAGCCTCAGTCTGCCTTCAGCCTCGGCCTCAGCCTCAGGCTGCCTCAGCCTCAGCCTGCATCAGCCTCAGCCTCAGCCTCAGCCTGCCTCAGCATCGGCCTGCCTCAGCCGCAGCCTCAGCCTGCCTCTGCCTCAGCCTCAGCCTCAATCTGCCTTCAGCCTCGGCTTCAGTCTCAGCCTGCCTCTGCCTCAGCCTGCATCAGCCTCAGCCTCAGCCTGCCTCAGCCTCAGCCTGCCTCAGCCTCAGCCTCAGCCTAGCCTCAGCCTCAGCCTCAGCCTGCTTCAGCCTCAGTCTGCCTTCAGCCTCGGCCTCGGCCTCGGCCTGCCTCAGCCTCAGCCTGCATCAGCCTCAGCCTGCCTCTGCCTCAGCATCAGCCTGCCTCAGCCTCAGCCTCAGCCTGCCTCAGCCTCAGCCTCAGCCTCGGCCTGCTTCAGCCTCAGCCTCAATCTGCCTTCAGCCTCGGCTTCAGTCTCAGCCTGCCTCAGCCTCAGCCTGCATCAGCCTCAGCCTCAGCCTCAGCCTGCCTCAGCCTCAGCCTGCATCAGCCTCGGCCTGCTTCAGCCTCAGCCTCAGCCTGCATCAGCCTCAGCCTGAGTCTGCCTTCAGCTTCGGCCTCAGCCTCAGCCTGCCTGCCTTCTCAGCCTCAGCATCAGCCTGCCTCAGCATTCAAAATGTGGCCAGGGAATGGAATTCTGGGAACTCGAAGAACACGAAGTGGCCTACAGTTTGCTCCGGGCATTCAAAATCATACCCAGGAATGGAGTTCTGGGAAGTCCAAGAGCACGAAGTGGCCTACAGTTGGCTCCGGGCATCCAAAATGTGGCCCGGGAATGGAGTTCTGGGAACTCGAAGACCACGAAGTGGCCTACAGTTGGCTCCGGGCATCCAAAATGTGGCCCGGGAATGGAGTTCTGGGAACTCGAAGACCACGAAGTGGCCTACAGTTGGCTCCGGGCATCCAAAATGTACGCCGGGAATGGAGTTCTGGGAACTCGAAGACCACGAAGTGGCCTACAGTTGGCTCCGGGCATTGAGAATGTGGCCCGGGAATGGAGTTCTGGGAGGTCGAAGAATGGAGTTCTGGGAGGTCGAAGAGCACGAAGTGTGTGACTGTTTGCGAAAAACGAAGTTCCCCGGCAATCCCCAACGGCCCCCCAACGCCCCCCCAACGGCTCCCCAACGGCTGCCCAGACCCCCCTGTGGAGTAATGTGCTGCTCTCTTTTTACACCATTAGAAACCTATCAGTCTTCGCTGTTAGGTAACAAGCGAAGCGAGCGACCAGGCAGCCACTCAGGAGAAGAAGCAGAACCGGTACTCCCAAACCCTGTGGCATGGAAGTCCTGGTGGCGACCAGCAGGTAAACGCAGCCAAAATGGCGCGGCGGCGCGACCATAAACACGCAGAGGTCGAACGCTCGGTGTGAGTCAGGCAAACGCCAACTGGTGGGGATACGCGAGGCGTCTAGAATTTCCATCGCCTCTACGCTTACTCGATATTTGTACTACGTCGCCTGCTCGCCTGGAACTGTTCTTTCGGGGCCCCGCTTTTCCCGCGTATTGTTCTCGCGCACAGGACGCCAAAATCTGTCATGTTACACGATTTGATGTCAAATCGGCATGTTGTTTTGTTTGCTTCGTTGCAGAGTGGGGACCCCAGTGTCGCGTTTGCCTCGTTTCGACGACTTGGCGAATCCAGGTCCGCTAGGAAACCCGTCGGTGGATGGAGAAAAATCAGCGCAATGGGAAAAGGATAGGTGGGAGGGATCGGATGTCAGATATGGTGCGCAGAACCAGGCTTCCCTCCACAATTACTCAATATGAAAATACTCTCCCTCTTCCCCTGATGGCGTCCGGGTGATGGCCGCGCACCCTCCGCGTACTGTTTTTTACACACAGGATGCCCGGGAAATCCCGGGAAACGACTCTCGCTGAGGCGCCGGCGTCATTTTTTTCCAAAATGCTGCTCTCGTTGAGGCGCCGGCCTCATTTCTGCTCCCGAATCGTTCCGAATCGTGCTCCCGCTGCAGCGTGGGCCTCATTTTCGGATCGGTGTTTGGCCTCCGTCGTTCAGGATGGCGTTCTCGCCCCAGCGCGGGCCTCTTTCTCGCGCGCCCATCCGCCCGCCACCACCGCGCCGCACCGCACCACTTCCGCCACCACCACCACCACCACCACCACCACAACCACCACCAGCACCAGCACCAGTACCAACACCACCACCACCAGCACCACCACCACCACCAGCACCACCACCACCACCATCACCACCACCACCACCACCACCACTACCACCACCACCACCACCACGACAACCACGCACACACGCACGCACGCACGCACGTGCACCACCACCCACTACGCACGCGCGCGCGGAGCCACAGGTCCGCTATGACACGCGTCCGCGGATCGAGAAAATCAGCGCTATGGTAAGGGATGGGAGGGAGGGGTAGGACGTCAGATATGACGCGAGCGCACCTAGCTTGAGCTTCCCCCTCCCCATCTTCCCCCCTTCTCCTCGTCTTCGTGCTCTTGCCGAATGTGTTAATACTCTTGCGGTGCCCTGGGTCCTAATGGGGGATTTCAGCATGGCGCCGGAACTTCTGGCGGAGGCTGGGTTTTTGGAACTAGTCCGTGCTAGAACTATTGACCAAAATAATGTGTCCATGTCTCGTGGTGTTGGTGAAGCCATGACCGACTGCGTGATGTGTAGCCTCCCGTTGTTCCCGTACATCACTGTGCAGTTTGACGCCTACTCCCACTTCAAGACCCATGCGCGTCTGGATGTCTCCCTTGACTTTGAGACCCTGGCCGCCCCAGCGTGCCAGCGCAGACTTCCAATGAAGTTCCCTGAAGCTCACGGTCCTGATAACTGTTGGTTGGCGTCCGTTTCTGCTGCGGGTCACACGACGTCTTCTCGTTCCTTGACTATCCCTGGTGTCATGTGGTCTGAAATTCCGCAGCACGCCCGAGAGCACCCTGCCCCGTCTTTGAATGCGCAGCCTTTTCTGGGGTCTCGCGCGGCCGAGCTGAGGATGATCTCCCCTGTGCCTGCGCCAGTGTTGATGGGCCATGTCGGTCCTGGGGCAGGGGAGCCACGCTGCAGAGGAATGACACCTCCTCGGCTGAGCGGGGTCCAATTGCCCAACGCTCTCGCTGTCCCACGCTGACCTTCTGGCCTACGGTTGCCACGCGCGCTGATGAGTATTGGGAGCTCCTGAAGGCCCTCTTTCAGTGACCCCGCCAGGGGGCTTCGGGATGTCTTGGTGAAGCTGGCGCCCTTGGTCAGCACTCGTATCGAGCCCTTCAAAGACCCCAGCGAGGCCTCTGCCTGGGTTGCGTTATTGGAAGGCCCTCCTTATAACCGGGATGTTGTTAGACTTATGATCGATCGTGGTTCTGATAGTTGCGCGCGTGCTTGGTCGCAAGTATATGAGCGCGCCCGCAAGAGCACGCGCGACTGGTTGAAGCAGGCCCCCCCCCCCGTGGTGCTAAACAAACGCATGCGCATTTAAAGGCTGACGACCGATCAAATACATGTAAAATATTTTGAGACCAACCCGGGAGTCGTCACCGAACCAAGTTCCATGATAAGGTATGGTGGACATGTTCGGTTTTGCTGGTGGACGCCTGATCCTGTTGCCACATAATGTTTGAATGTGGGTCTGTCTGAACTTCGTGCTCTTGCCCAGGTTGCCCTGATGCGTGCTGAACCGCTCGAGCTCAGGGATGTCTCACGCGCGTGTGCTTGTTCTTTTGTGTCTCCCCAATTAGTGCTTTGCGCGACCCGCCTAGCCCTTAACCGGAAGAAGCCCGCTCTCGACCCGCAGACCAAAAGTGTTTGTTTCTCTGCGTGCAGTGCTGTCGGGGTTGATCTATGGTCACCCATGATCCTCCGTTCCTTGCCTGCGCCTTCGCTGGAGAAGCTCCCTGATGTTGTTTTCGCTGGAATCGAGGAGACCATGACCTTCCCGCACCAGTTCCTCTTTTGTACCATGGCTGCACCGCCCAAGTCCATCAACGAGGAGAGAGAGAGAGAGAGAGAGAGAGAGAGAGCTCACGAAGTACCCGACATTGTACCTTGTTTATTGTAAAGCTCGTGGCTTTGACACCGATTCATGCAAGAGTGAGCATCTGGAGATCTGGGGCACCGCGGTGAACATACGCTTCGGCCTTGAATGCCGGCCCGCTCAGAGAAAGCTGTCACGGCGTTGCTCTCTCGTCTGGTATGGCCGCCGTCTCGGCCAACTGGGACATGGAGAAGCTCTTCGACTCTGTGTCTCCTCACAAGCTCATGCAATTGGCTGTTAAACACGGTTGCGCCGCGCACCTCCTGTACCTCGGCTTGCTTGTCCACGCTTCCCCGAGGGACCTGGAAGTGTCCAGAAAGCTGTCGGAAGTTCTCGTGGCTGGGGAGTCTATCTTAGCGGGGTGTGCGGGGTGCGTGGTCAGAGTATGCCTTGGGTGAAGTGTTGCTTACATGATGTGCTGGAGCGTGCCCACTCGAGGATCCCTGTAGACCCTGGACTGAGCCCCCAAGTTCGTGTTCTATCAAGTCGCACGTGGACGGCATTTACAATTTGTGCATTGTACCCCTTCCTTCCTCGCGGAGTATTTCCCGCGAGCTGTTGCCGCCTTCCGCGACGATGTGATCGAGCTGGGTTGTTTCGTCTCAAGTAAGTCGGTGGTGATGGCATCCAGCAAGGACGTGGAGCGGCTGTTGAGGCCCCTTTTTGATGAGGAAGGATCCACGCACCGTTTCGACCTTGGGAAAGCGACGTCTGACGTGGAAGTTGAAGCTCAGGAGGGCGGTTGCATTCAGGAGATCGCGGCTACAACAAGCACGAAAGGCTGTGACCCTGCGGAAATGGCCCCGGGCAGCTCCCGAACTACTTCGACTAGTAGTAGTGGGGCACAGCACCGACCTACGGTGCCACTTGTGCTAGCGAGCGCTACAATTTCTGAGCTGCAGACTACGTCGACAGGGGCCTGGAGCACTTGCGCTTCGGGACAAGAACACGATCAAGACCGACACGCGGGGGCCACTCCACGCCTACCGAGCACACTTGGCATCGCTTGGAGCAGAGCGCAGCGACGACGGCTTCTGGAGAGGCCCGGCGGGAGAGCTTCGACTCACCGACAGAACCTACCAACAGCTCCACGAGCTACGACTCATATTCCGATCACACGAATGGGCAATCCTACAGGGCCGGAACCGGCAGGAGAGCCCCATGGCGGCTGGAGTGCCCTTCCCAACTGCTGCCGCGCGCGCGGCACAGGAAGCACGGAAAGTTAACCCAATCCTCGCCTCACACATCGCTGCCGTCCTCTGCGGCTGCGTGGTCTCGGACGCCCTGCTGCAGTCCAACCAAAGCGAAGAGGTCTCGACCACCTGCGACCACTGCGGAGAACAGCACGTCCCGACGCTCAACCACATGTACTGGGTGTGCACAGCCAACGCCGACCTCCGGCAGGGCATCGCGATACCAACGGCTGATCTCACCGCCGGCTTGGCTGGCCGACAGAGGACCTCACCAGGAGGACCACGACCAGATGGACAAAAATGGTGTTGGCTATGGCAAGCATGCGGCAGCGTGCGCTGTACCGCTGGCACAAGAAACCACAGGCACCCAACTCTTCCGACCATGGTTCATAACCGTTCTCAGTGGTTATTGTTTGGGTTACATGTGTCATCAATTGGCTTACGTTGTACTTAAATTCTTCTTTGGGCTGGTGTCTTCCATTCTCCAGTTACACCATCTACATATATGTGGGATTACATAACATATTTTGGTCACATGTGTCATCAATTGGTTT